AAGCCCTCGGGCCAGAGAGGAGGCGAGGCGAGGACGAGTCGACAAGGGGTCCGGGAGGCTGTTTTTGTCCCAACCGTCCCGTGGGTCTTCTTTTTTGAAGAGGCAGCGCTCCGTGTCCCTCCCACCTCTTCCCGCTCCCCGTCCCTCCGTTGCCCTCGCTATGCCCCTTCCGGCTCCCTTCAGATCCCCTACAAGGCTTACATGGGGAATCTTGGGCGCGAGCTTCCAGGTCCTAGGGTACTCAGGAGCATGGAGAAAAGCGCTTCAAACATTATCGCGCGAGCGACAGCGTTTTAGTATGCTGAGAGGCGCAGTCGGCAGGCAAGCCACGTCTTTGTGGAGGACAGGAGCGTTGCCATCTGTCGGCCACGGCGCTACGGGTGCCGGCGTCTCCGACACTGCGCTGCGAGAGTTGCGACTGTTCGCGGCGGTGCTGAAGGGGGCTCCAGGCAGGTCCTCTACAGGCGTAACAGCGTACCTGATCAGTCATTCTAACGACATGTATGACCAGATCTTCCATGCTACCCTCCAGGCCGCTTTGAAATTTGCTGAATGGACTTGGGATTCCAGGATTCCAGGGTCCAATCTAGTCGGCTTCATCGCGCCTGGGGAAGTCTGAGGGAGAAGTTCGAGGATAAGCCGTCTTGGGCTGCTGCTGGAGGACCTCTTGGGGCTGTTTGGCTTTGACTTCGGAGGATCGTTCAGGACCTCGTCGCGAGCCACGTTGTCCAGCCCAGCTTAGCCACACCGCTTAGGACCTCCGTCGCGACCTTTCCTCGTCGCGAGCCACGCTAAGCCTCGACGCTTAGGACCTCGTCGCGAACCTCGTCGCGACCTAGGTAACTTCTACGGCCTCTGACACATGTGCCCCGAGGATGTCGAGGTATTATGGATAGAAGGCGTGCAATCGTGGTAACGTGAGAGGATTATCAGGCCCTGTTACATTGTGGAGCCTGGGTTCTAGCCTCCGATTTAGCACCGAGCTCTGCGGCATTCTGGTAAGAGCATAAAGTGCCCACGGTGCCTCGGAGCGCTCGGGGCGCACTGGGCCGAGGGCGCCCCAATTCCTGTTTGACTCAATCTGTAAGGTTGGAGGCCAGCTGCGCCCATGTGCTGCGTTTCGGCTGGAGGTCACGGAGTGCTGGGGCCATATTCTCTACGATTGCGCGGCCTTGTTCGAGGGGGACTCCGAAGACGAGTGCAACCCCCTCCCTGAGCTGTTGTCCGAAGTTCGGGATCGCCTAACTAAGCAGTTGCTGAAGTTCGGGATCGCCTCAGCTTCTTCCAGCTTCCTCCTCCTCCCGCGTCGATTTTACCTCGCACCGACATTGGCGGATTGGCTTTTTTACGTAGCGAATGTGGCGAAGAGAGGCGAAGCAGGCAGGCCCGCGCGGGGCTTCTGAGCTTTGAGTACGCACGGCGTGCGGCGAGGAGGAAGATGAGGATGGCCAGTCATCCCTCCTCGTCCTCCTCCAGCTTGGCATCCTCAGCCCATGTCTATCCGACCGATCGGATACGATGTCGATTCTGGCGAGCCCGATCCGATTGGACTTCGATTTCTCGCCGATCCGATGCGACCCGAAGCTTCGGCGCTGTATGCAGTTTTTCCGATCGGAGTTCGGCTCCGTGCCGATGCGGTCCGATTCGACGCACTTTCCGATTCGATCCGGTTCTCCCATTCGAGTTTGATTGATTTTGCCCTCCCGTTCGTCCTGCCCGCCTCCCCACGAGGAAGGGGAGATCCCAGGGGCGGGGCTGTGCGGGGTGCAGCGAGGCTCACGACTACAACCGTCCGGCACCGCCTGCTCCGTCTGTTTCCGTTGCGGCACCGACCTGCTTGCGGCGGGAGGTTTGGCGCGAGGTTCGGCAAAAAGAGCCGAGGCTACAAGCGGCGGCGGGTGCCACTCCTCATTTCCCCGCGTTCTCCTTCCCTCTCCTTGCGCCCCCCCTCGCTCGTCCTCCCGTTCGTCATCCCTCCTCCCCATCCTCCGTTCGCCGCTCCTTCCCTTCGTCCATCCTCCGTGTTTCAGCGTCTTCCTCTCTTGCTAATCGTGAGTATCTGTTCCTCGTGCCCATTTCTCTCTCATCTACATAGAGGGGATGGTGCGCGTGCGCAGGGCGTGAACGGTGGGCTCGTGCTCAGGGCGTGACATTTGGTCGCGAGCTCACTCCAGCGATGCCGTGCGTAGATCATGGGTAGACTTGCAGCAAGGCAGGAGCGGACATGGCAGTAGCACCAGTCGCAGTTAGTAGTGACGGCATCAGACGCAGTAGTAGTAGTAGTAGTAGTAGTAGCAGTAGTAGTAGTAGTAGTAGTAGTAGTAGTAGTAGTCATACTAGTAGTAGTAGTAGTAGTAGTAGTAGTAGTAGTAGTAGTAGTAGTAGTAGTAGTAGTAGTAGTAGTAGTAGTAGTAGTAGTAGTAGTAGTAGTAGTAGTAGTAGTAGTAGTAGTAGTCGTAGTAGTAGTAGTAGTAGTAGTAGTAGTAGTAGTAGTAGTAGTAGTAGTAGTAGTAGTAGTAGTAGTAGTAGTAGTAGTAGTAGTAGTAGTAGTAGTAGCAGCAGCAGTAGTAGTAGTAGTAGTAGTAGTAGTAGTAGTAGTAGTAGTAGTAGTAGTAGTAGTAGTAGTAGTAGTAGTAGTAGTAGTAGTAGTAGTAGTAGTAGTAGTAGTAGTAGTAGTAGTAGTAGTAGTAGTAGTAGTAGTAGTAGTAGTAGCAGCAGTAGTAGTAGTAGTAGTAGGAGTAGGAGTAGGAGTAGTAGGAGTAGTAGTCGTCAACGCCGTCGTATGTTTGGTACTAAAATTCAAAGCCGTAGCCGTAGTATGAGTAGTTGTAGTAGTAGTAGTAGTAGTAGTAGTAGTAGTAGTATTAGCCTCAGTGGTAGTCTCAGTAGTAGTCTTAGTCTTAGTCGTAGTAGTAGTAGTAGTAGTAGTAGTAGTAGTAGTAGTAGTAGTAGTAGTAGTAGTAGTAGTAGTAGTAGTAGTAGTAGTAGTAGTAGTAGTAGTAGTAGTAGTAGTAGTAGTAGTAGTAGTAGTAGTAGTAGTAGTAGTGATCGTAGTCGGAGTCGTGATAGTAGAAGTAGTAGTAGCCGTAGTACACGTAGCAGTAGCAGCACTAGTAGACGTAGTAGCCGCAGTAGTAGTAGTAGTACTACTAGTAGTAGTAGTAGTAGTAGTAGTAGCAGTAGCAGTAGCAGTAGTAGTAGTAGTAGTAGTAGTAGTAGTAGTAGTAGTAGTAGTAGTAGTAGTGTTAGTGGTAGTGATAGTGGAAGTAGTAGTTGTAGCAGTGGTAGTAGCAGTCGTGGTATCAATACTACTTTCAGTAGCAGTGGCAGTAGTGGTGGTAGTAGTAGTAGTAATCGTAGTAGTAGTAGTCGTAGTAGTAGTAGTAGTAGTAGTAGTAGTAGTAGTCTTAGTGGTAGTAGTAGTAGTAGTAGTAGTAGTAGTAATAGTAGGGGTCATAGTCGCAGGCGTAGTAGTAGTAGTAGTAGTAGTCGTCGTCAGAGTAGTCGAAGTAGTACCAGGAGTAGTAGTAGCAGTATTACTAGTAGTAGTGATAGTCGTAGTAGTTGTAATTGTGGTGGTGGTCGTAGTAGTAGTTCGTGGTAGTCATAATAGTAAAAGTTGCAGTAGTTGTAGGAAGTAGTAGTAGTAGTAGTAGTAGTAGTCGTAGTCGTAGTAGTAGTAGTAGTAGTAGTCGTCGTTGCTGCAGTAGTAGTAGCCGCAGTCGTAGTCGTACTAGTAGTAGTCGTAATGTAGTTGCCGTAGTCTGAGTAGTAGTAGTAGTTGTAGTAGTAGTAGTAGTTGTTGTTGTAATAGTAGTAGTAGTAGTAGTAGTAGCAGTAGTAGTAGTAGTAGTAGTAGTAGTAGTAGTGGTAGTGGTAGTAGTAGTAGTAGTAGTAGTAGTAGTAGCAGCAGTAGTAGTAGTAGTAGTAGTAGTAGTAGTAGTAGTAGTAGTAGTAGTAGTAGTAGTAGTAGTAGTAGTAGTAGTAGTAGTAGTAGTAGTCGTAGTCGTAGTCGTAGTCGTAGTAGTCGTAGTAGTCGTAGTAGTCGTAGTAGTCGTAGTAGTCGTAGCCGTAGTAGTAGTATTACTACTACTAATGAGGGATGTTGAAGGGGAGGGATATGAGGATGTGGTTTCCCGCCGCCGTGTCCAGAACCAGAATGAGGATAATGATGATGGGGGGGGCAGGAGGAGGAGGCGTGAGAGGATGAGGTGGAGTTGGATGAAATGGAGTTTGGCGCGGACGACACAAGTGATGAGAGGATGGATCACGATTGTGCCTGAGAAGTAGATGTGGATTGAAGGAGGGAGCGGTTGAGACGTAGATATATTAAACCCAGCGCCACGTTGAAACAACATAATGAGGATGTGGAGGTGTCGGTTGATGATGAGGAACTTGAGTGTGACGATCACGTGGAGGAGGAGCAGGGAGGAGAGACGATAATGAGGAGGAAGGGGAGATGGATAAGGATAGTGACAAGAAGGAGGAGGATTGGCCGTATGGCCCCGATATAAGCGAATTCCAGCTTGATGGCCAGCTTGGTCCCTGAATGGCAGTGGTGGTATATTGTATGGCCAGTCTGGTACTGTTGAGGCCAAGGTCCTCAACAGAGAGCTATTCCCCACTCGGAGGGCCAGGGAGTGACGGAGGTACCAAGGGACGGACGGATGGGCTGGAGGAGGAAGAGGAATGATGGAGGAGGAGGGGAGGGCGCTTCCACCCCGCCGCTCTTCACCACATCAGCAGCAACCCGAGATTCAGCATGGCAGCGGTCGCTACCTAGTGGACGGCCGTCGGGAATCAACACATACGCCAGGTGCGCCACGCCCGCGGGGTGCGCCGTGCGTGCGAGGTGCGCCACGTGCGACACGTGCGCCGAGTCAAGTTTTCTACTTATCCTCCTCGCCTTCCTCCCAGTCGCGGGGCTCTCGCAGTGCGCACAGAGTCCCGGCCACCCGCTCCCTCCTTCCGCTGCCCTCGCACACACACGCCGCCGCCAGGACCTCCGCAAGGTCGCCGCGCGGTCGAAGGTGGCCCTGCCGTCGGGCGGGTTGTTCGACAACCGCGCCCCGGCGGCTCCGCTGGCAGAGTCTGCGGTGGACGCTTTCGTCGGACGCTCTCGCAGAATCTGCTCCAGGCGTGCGGTTTTCAGACGTTTCCCTCGGTCCTTTGCGGTTTCCTGGCCTCGGGAAGCCTTCCCGCGGCTGCGCCTCGCCGAGAGCAGTCCGCGGGGCTGGGATGTCCCGAGCGACCGCGAGAGACGAGTTGCACCCCAGAAGACCAGGCGTGGAACGCATCAACCCCCAGTCGCCAACTGATCGCCGACGGGGACCTGATAGCCCACCCCGCCCAGCCGAGGACCGTGCGGCGTCGCTATCGGAAGCCCGTCCGTTTTTCGAGAGACAGGGTTTCAACAGCATGAGATAGCACACACCATATTGGTTTCCAATGCAAAGTCTATCAGGCACTCTTCCGCGCACACTTTTCATCATTCTCATCAGCACCACGCCATTAGCATCGACAGCGTCATCATTGCCGTCGTGGTCGTCATCACCACCATCCTATACATCGTCATCATCAGCATCAGCAGCATCATCATCAGCATCAACATCATCATCATCATCGTCGTCGTCGCCGTTGGCATAGTCGTTGTGGTTGTCCTCGTCTTCGTCGCCATAATCATCATCATCCTCATTGTCGAGGTCACCATGTCCGTCGTCACCATCATCGCTCGCCCGCCCGAGTCATTGATTTGCGTGAGAAGGGTCCTCGCGTCACGGCGCCAGCTGAGTGTTGACAAGAAGTTGCGGGTGGGTGGGCGAGTTATTTCCTCGAGAATCGGAGTTGTCGATTCCAAGTGCTCCATGAATGAATTGCACCATATATCATTACATGCCCAGAATAACGTGAACGTATATGTATTTGTATACACACATTGCGTTGCACGTAATGCAGCAACGCCGCTCGAATTGTACCACAATGGTTGCCATCCGAGATGGCAAGCGCCCACGTCTTGGGGCCAACGCCTGCGACGAACACAAGTAGCATACATCCGCGACGCCCCAGCACTTACACAAACATCATACGAACGTGACGTGCATCACGCGCATACGCATATCAGAGTCCAAACACGGACACATACTCGATCACAAATTGCAGACATGCACAATTATGCATGATGGACATACGTCACCAATAACCGTCAATCACATACGTCGGTGTCATGTTTTAGTCGCACCCAGCAGCCAGGCGGCACCCAGCTTGGGCACCACGAACGTACACCACCAACGCACATCAAGCGTTGACATCACTATTGCGCAGCAAGAACAAGCACCCGTATCATCAAGACATCAAGCACGTGCAGCACACACAAACACGCATTCTTCTTCTATATTTTTACAAGCCCGTGTGGGGGGGGGAAAGCCTCCAACCCACCCACCCCAAAACCGGACTCCCGGGATCTGGGACTTTGGGACCCTCCGGACGGGCCTCGAAGCGGCCCCCCGGGCCTCGCAGGGCGTTTTGCCAAGTTTTCGCCGCAGCACACCTAGGGTGGTCAGGGGAGTCATCGGAGACGTCCCAGAGACCCCCAAGACAGCACAAGAGCGCTCCAAGAAGCCGTCATACCCCGAAAGATCGCTCCAAAACGTACCAAGAGGCTTCCAAGAGAAGGGCCACAAGAGGGAACAATCATTGATGCTACGAAGGTTTTTGATGAATTTGGGGTTCTCCTCTTTTCGGCTTCCCGAGGCTCCAAGACGGCGGTATTCTGGGCGTCCGAAGCCGCCTGGGAGGCTCCCAAATCGCCCCACAACCATCCGAAAGGGCTTCCAGGCAGTCCAAGAGAGCCCCAAAACGGCACAACAGGGGTCCAAGATGGCCCTCAGAGAGCCCCATGGCGGCCCAAGACGGCCCCAAGACACCCTCCGAAGCATTCCAATCGTGACCGGGGCGTTCAGGGAGACCGCTGTTAGAGGTTAGAGGCAGATTGGCCTTAGGAAGCCCCAGAGGCCCCCAGAACACGCCCAGGAGGCCTCCAGAAGGCTTTTTTAGAAAACCTGAGAACTTTGATGAGGCCCCAGAGGCTCTCCAAGGAGGAGCCTCCGCAAAAAGGGCTGAGGAGGATGGGGAGAATGCCCAGGGTATGGCGAAAATGATGACAAATAAACATGGAGGAAGGATAACGAACAACATTATTATAACGGCGATGCCAGAAAAGGCAGCAAGGAGTTATCGCTAAATTGTCGGCGTGTGACCTTCCTGCCATTTCCGCCTTGCATACCAACTTGCCATTTCGGCCGTTCCGCCTACATTCAAGGACCACGGTGCTTGGCGCGAATCGCCACTGCAACCTTGTATGTATACACATATATATATATATATATGTATATATATATATATACATATCAGAGTGAGGGGGCCGAACGGTCATTCACTGTCCCTGGGTGCGTGGCTCAAGTGGGATTCCGCGGTGCGGATTCTTGTTGTTGTTGTTTGTTGTTTGTTGTTGTTTGTTGTCGTCGTCCCACCCGCAACCCGCCCCGCGACCCACCCGCGACCCACCCCGCGACCCACCCCGCGACCCACCCGCGACCCACCCGCGACCCATCCGCGACCCACCCCGCGACCCATTCCGCGTCCCACCCCGCGACCCATCCCGCGACCCACCCCCGACCCACCCCGCGACCCACCCCACGACCCACCCCGCGCGACCCACCTGCGACCCAACCGCGACCCGCCCGCGACCCACCACGCGACCCGCCCGCGCCCACCCCGACCCGCGACCCACCCGCGACCCACCCACGACCCACCCGCGACCCACCCGCGACCCACCCCGCGACCCACCCGCGACCCACCTTCGACCCAAGGCACAAACCACCATTTTCGGCGCCTGCGGCGGGCATTTTTGCATTCCTTCCAGGTGGAGAGCCCGCGGGACCCACCCCGCGACCGACTCGCGACCAACCCGCGACCCAAACCACGTTCAGGGTACAAACCACTTTTTTCGGCGCCTGCGGCGGGCATCTTTTGCATTCGTTTCAGGTGGAGAGCCCGCGGCCCACCAGCGACCACGTTCAGGGTACAAACCACATTGTTCGGCGCCTGCAGCGGGCATCTTTTGCATTGGTTCCCGGTGGAGAACCCGCGGCCCACCCGCGACCCAAACCACGTTCAGTGTACAAACTAATTTTTTCGGCGCCTGCGGCGGGCTGCCTTTGCATTCCTTCCAGGTGGGGTGGAGAGCCCGCGACCCACACGCGACCCAAAAACCACGTTCACTGAACAAACCAATGCCACACAAGCGCGGCGGCGGATTTTTGCATGCCGTCTGAGCCTGCGACGACCTCTTCAAGCCCCGCGCATCCACACCAGCCCGTCCAGCAACTTTGCCCTGGCGAGTTGCCTCGATCAGAGAAGTCGGGGAGCAGAAAGTGGAAACAAAAGATTGCGCTGCCGTTATCTCGGAACAGGAGGGGGAGGCAGGAGGACTAAACAGGGGACGAGGAGGACGCAGGAGGACAACAATGGGAGGACGAGGAGAACGCAGGAAGAAGAGAGGATGTAAGGAGAATGTGGAGAAAGAGGAGGAGAAGGAGCAGGAGGACGAGCAGGGGGAGGAGGGGGAGGAGGGGGAGGAGGAGGACGAGGTGGGGGAGGAGGGGGAGGAGGGTCAGGAGGGGGAGGATGATGGACGACAATGAGAGGACGATGATGGAGGCCGATGAGGGGGAGGACGACAATGGGCGGACGATGATGGAAGGACGAGGGGGGGAGAGGGAGGACGAGGAAGAAGAGGAGGAGGAGGAGGACGAGGTGGAGGAGGAGGAGGACGATGACGATGAGGACGAGGACGAGGACGAGGAAGAGGAGGAGGAGGAGGAGGAGGAGGAGGAGAGCGCCATCGACAGGGAAGGTGGGTGCCACGAGGTCAGCCGGCTCGACGGCGCCCGCGTCGCCCGCGCCCGCCCCCTCACTCTTATCCGCAATTGCGGGGTGCTACGTGTGTATATATCTATATGTATATATTTATGGAGAGAGAGAGAGAGAGAGAGAGAGAGAGAGATGTGCGCGTATGTGTCACGCCCACGTGTGCAAATTGTACACCAAGAGCAGGCATCATGGACAGACATCGAGACCATTTACCCCTAGTCTACACAAGTGCAATATTCTCTGTTGGGCAGGCCAGCAAGACAACAGCACTGTCACGCCATACAGCGACCTCATCCATCGTGACAAGTTTTACCGTGGGGTCTACGTGGGTGCCTATTGCAGGTGGTCGGCGGGTTGGGCCGAAAGCCGTTGTGAGTTCTTTAGAAAGACCAAACCCTTAGAAAGCTGGCACGCCGGGCACTCATGTGATGAATCACCACGGGGCGGCGGATGAAAGACGCCCACGGCGAATCGCCGCCGCCCCCTGCCTTATCTGGGAAGCGCCTCGGTGGCCAAACGTTGGACCCCAGCTTGGCCAAGCCATCGAAATATGTGTCCCCACAGCCATTCTGCCGTTCGGCCGTTGTTCGGCGATCGTGGGCGCCTCTTGGCTGTCTTGGACGCTCTGAAGACCGAGAATAGGGTAATACGAAACGGTAATCATTTTTTTGGGTTTGGCGAAATTGATTATTGAGCCGCCTTCAGGGCCTCAAAGACGGCCTAGGAGACGCCCAAGAGAGCTCCATGAGAGTCTTCGGTGCCAGTTTAGGCCACGGTGGACGTGCATGTCCGGAACAACGCACTCTTGGTTTCTGGAAAAGTCACGCGGGGAACGCCGAAGAGCCCAAGAGCGCTCAGGCCCTTTCAAGAATATGTAGAGTATGTTCATACAGAGAACTCGGATGGACCTGAGTGCACTACAACTCCTACCTCAGGGCACGGTGGCGGATACCACCGTCAGTTGACATGACTCTACATACATGGCCTACGCAGTTTGTGTGCAATCGTAACATGTGCGGCCATCTCGCCCTCATAACCTACGCGGGAAACCAACACCACTGAGGTTCATTTGGAAGCCCCTTGAGGTCGTCGGGCACGAGATTTGTGCATGTACACCGATCCTGGCCAGGCCCATCCTGGACCAAGGTTCGGTGTGTACGCCCTCTTGGCTTGTCCGAGGGGAGCGTATGCAACCATCATATGCCCAGGATTCGGATGCGCCCGGTCAGGGGTGGTGTTTTTGGAGACATCTCGTCGCCCCGTCCCGCCCTCTTCGACGGCCTCTTCGCCAGCCTCCTTCGCGGGAGGATCGGCGATGACTGTCCTGGGGCCCGGCGAAGGCTCCCGGACGCCGAAAAATATCTGAAACCGTCCATCGCGATTTTTGTTTGGTCGCCACGAGTGGAAGACCACGACGACGAGGATACAGAGGCCCCCACCTCTTCTCATAGCGCTTCGTCTGCTGGACTCCCCGAGGCCTTCGGAGGCTCTCACAGGTCTGCATGCGGCGATCCCCACGAGGTCTCTCCGGATGGAGGTCCCCAATAGTGGCAGGCGCAGTCAAAAACAGTTCGAAGTTCGAATTTCGATCAGCCTCCTTCTTCCCCTCGCCGCTGCGCCGTGCATAAGTATCGCATGCACAGACTACACTAGGATCCACCAGCCGCTGTCGCTGCTCGTCTCTTACGTGAACGTCCCACGTCGGGGCGGCACGAAGAGGGAGAGGCTGCTGGGCGAGAGGACTATGGAAGGCTTGCATGCAGCACGGCAGAATGCAGAGACGAAAGTTTGAGAACCAGCGCCAGGGAGGCAGGAGTTCCTGAAGGAAGTGGAGGTAGAGTCGGAGGAGGACGAGGAGGAGAAGGACGAGGAGGGCGGTGAGCGAGGATGAGGTAGATGAGGGCGAGGAGGAAGAGGCAGGTGGAGCAGCAGAAGGAGGGGGACAAGCGAGGAGCAGGTCGAGGGAGGATAATGAGATGGAAAAGGAGGAGGGGAGGGAGGAGGAGGGGGAGGAGGGGGAGGAGGAGGAGGAGGAGGAGGAGGTGCTGGAGGAGACGGAGGAGGAGAAGGCGGAGGATTGCGACAAACGTGGAGGAGGTAGAGGAAGAGGGCGAGGGCGAAGAGGAGGTGCTGGAGGAGGCAAAGGAGGACTCTGCCCCAAGTGACGCCGTGTTCTCTAAGAGGACCTTCGGTTGTTACACTATTTCTTGTGCTCCTTGCTCTGCCAAGGGAACGCCAACGCCGACGTCTGGGCGGGGGTCGCGGCCCAATGGGCCTGGGATTTGTGTGCCTCGGCCCCCCCACCCCGCGACCGACCTGTGGGATACGATGGTGGCGATGGTGAGATGCAGAGCAAGGCGCGCTTTGCTGATGGCGCTCGAGCTTGAACCTTGGGTCGGAGACCGAGCTCCTACCTTTAAGCAACCACGCAAGAGCCAGTTTAGCTCAGCAGTAGAGTCCAGGCAAACTTTCCTTTTGCTGAACGTTGGAGGCCTGAGCGGTGTCATGTGGTTCTCCGTCGGTGCAAAGATTTGAAGGCCGCCTCGACCCCATGTCCCGATCCGAGCCTTGTCGCCCGCGTGCTGGACTCGGCTGAAGTGCGGGGGCTACCTCCTGAATATGGTGAGGGCTTCGAGGCGGTCGAGGGGGAAGCGTGGGTTGGCGGTGTGATGATTCACCCTTTCCATTCGCTTGCCAGGATGAATATGTTAGGCTTTGTTGTTGTATGAGATATTGCTTCACTGCTACGGCTGATGGCAGGAGGCTGCTGAATGATTGTGCCCCCCCCGCTAAGAAACGGGGGTAACTAAAACGAATTCAGAAGAGTATTTTCCCCTCGCATCGTGGCCCGCCGAGATCTCTTTTGGCGGCCCAGGCGCGTGATGATGCGAGACGTGCGATCCAGGCTTCAGCCGGGGATGGTGCTCGGCGTCGGCGTGACGCCTCGAATGTCCCGAGTCCTGTCTGCGAGTATCTGCGGAGCTCGGCCGATCGCCACCCGTGCGCCATGGCCGAGCTGATGTCGTTCGGCGAGGCCCCTCCGACGCAACCCCCTGCCGTTTCCGCTGCCGCCACCGCCGCCATGTGCTCGTGTGCGGGCCTAGCGGCCATGGTCGGGTCGGAGGAGTGCAGCGGCGGGGGGCACCAGCAACAGCAGCAGCAGCAACAGCAGCAGCAGCAGGATGCGCGCGCGCCCGAGGACAGTGGAGACAGCGACTGAGGAGGGCCACGCGAGCGGCAAGGCATCATAATTTAGTATAGCCCTATCGCCGAGGGAGGGGCCCCGAGGAGAACTGGTCCTAGGCTAGCTGTTGTTTTTGCCCGAGACCAGCTCTTCGTTCCGAGCAGCTCTTTGACGGCCCCGTGGCCGCGGGAGAGCCCCAGGGGCCCGACAGCGGCGAAAAGCCTCCAGAGCCCCCCTCTCCTCCAGGACCAGTTGCCTGCCATGCGGAACCCTCCTCGCCCCCCCCCCCTTCTCCTTGCCGTTCGTCGCAGGGGACTTCCCGGCCCCAGTCCCCGAGCCCTCCACGCATCGATGGCCGTTCAAAAAGAAACGACAAATCCAAATCAAATCCGGGTGGCGTCGCTGCGGGTTGTCATTTTTTCTCACCCCCGTCGTGACGACGCGGAAGGCAATGGCCGTCGCAGGATGCTCGACATTTTCTGCGTTTTGCTGAACACCGACAGTAACGCGGCGACCGATGGCGTGCAGTTGAGCATGGACGACAAACCGCTGTTCGACGGCTACCGGAAGAGCATGAAAAGGAAAACGAGGGCAGCACCCAGAACACTGACGAGATGGCGGGAAGATGAACGACGTGCTTCAGGTCCTGGCGCGGCGCGGGGGCTCCACAAACCACCCAAACGACTCGAAGGTGAAGGGGCGCGCCAGGATCGAGAAGGCAGTCGCGGGTGACGAGTCCGTGGGCAAGGGCCACGTGCAGGCAGCCGTGGATGCCCCCCCCCGCCCCTCCCCCGCGCGCAGGCAGGGGCGCATCCGCTCGCCGATCTTCCCCAGGGGCTCACCGTGGAGGCCAATGTTAAACCGTCGAATTCTTGAACGACGTCTTGATGTAATTAGCAGCAGTTTCGAGGCGCCCACCAGCTCTTCAAGAGAAAGAGGGGCTTCTGGACACGAGCGTAACGGTAATGGACGCCCTGCGCAGGGTGCAGTATGGCTCCCAGACGTTGGCCAGTGTTCGCAGGTCGCGCAGGGCGGTGGTGTCCAGCCGTACGCGGGTGGATTGACCAGCCCAGTCGACTCGGGTAGGCTGGCCTGGCGGCGCAAGGGTTGGACCCTGAAGATGCCAGCACATCTGCCCGCGCGGCCGGTCGCATTTCGAGGGCGTCACCTTGGCAGTCGACGGCGAGCTGCGGAGGAAACTGCAGTTTGAGCGCGCGGCGGCCTGCCATCGCGACTTCTATTACCTGGAGGGCGAACTCGGAACGAGAAGCGTGGAGGCCGCGGTGGAGATGCGGCCCACCTGTCATGGAGCTCCTGGTCACTGCCGAGCGCGCCGGATGCCTGTGCACGGCGCGCAGAGGCGGGCCTCGCCCCCATGCTTTTTCTCGCGCCCCCTCCCTTTCCTTCTCTCCTCCTCCGCTCCCACAGCTGGCGAGCGTCGGCGACCAAGGGGGGAGCGTAAAATGCTCTCCCCCTCCTCATCGCCCCCGCGTTCCTCCCTCCTCCCTCCCTCCTCCATCTCCATTTCTCGCCCTTATGAGAATAGCTGTTCCATGTCGCACCCCGAGGCCAGTTTGTAGACCGCGCCGGGAGTTCGCCTGAGACTTCCTCACCATTTGTGACCGTGAAGCTTAAACATCGTCAACAGTTTCACACATTGAGGGTGGGTCGTTTTCAAAATGTGACCGTCGCCTTAACGCAGCGCATATTCGTCTTTTAGGTTTGCAGGAGCTTCACGGATTGAGGGCGACCCGTTTTCAAAATGTGTTTGTCGCCTGAGCGCCGCGTACATTCGGTTTCAAAAATTGAAAGAGCTTCACGGAGTGATGGCGGTTCTTTTTCAACATGTGGCTCTCGCTTTTGCGCCGCGCACATCCGTTTTGAATTTTTGCAAGAGTTTCACGGATTCCCTTGATCAGCGTACCAAGCATTGTGTTTTGGAAGGGTTCATGATTATGAGGGTGCAACAGTTGCGTTGATTCGCGGTTGAAGTCCTTGGAATGGCGTTCTGGCACGGTTCCTGGTCGCCAAGACGCAACAGTCAGGTTGATCCGTGGCGTTGGAATCCAGAGAACAATGTTCTGGCATGCCTTCAGGGTTTTCAGAAGGTTGTCTTCCAACGAGGCAGTTCTTTCGGTGGAAATTAAAAGCTGTAGAGGCCTATGAAGAGGAAGCTTTGAGCGGCTTTTCTAACATCATTGATGACTCTTGGGTTTACATTGGTCCTCCTTCTCCTCCTCCTCCTCCTCCGCTTCCTCATCCTCCCCTTCGCCCTCTACCTTTCCTTCTTTTCTCCCTTTTACTTTTCCTCCTCATATTCCTCCTCCTCCTCCTCATCCTCCTCTTCGCCTTCCTCCTCCTCCTGCTCCTCGTCCTCTCTTTCCCCGACCTCCTTCTCCGTGATGTCCTCGCCCGTCTTTTTTTTCCTGGTTTAACCTCCCCCCCTTCGTCGACCCAGTCAATCGATGATCGGCATCGTCTGTCTACCAGAAGTTTGGCTGCACCTGCCGGCGGAGGTGCTCCTTTTCGCCCTCTTCGACGGCCAGTCCTGCGCCGAACAGCCCGGGCCCCTCGCGGCCGAGTCATGCGCGAAGCAGGTGTTGCCGAAGCTGTTGAGGACCTGCCTCTCTGTCGCGGGTCGCTCGCCTTATTTAGAATGGTAATGCGAATAGGCAGCATAAGAAACATGATAACGAAAAGAAGGGAAACATCAGCGGCGTGATCATTATTTTTGGAGTTCCGTATGGGTTTCTCGTATTGGCAGCTGGCCACCCCTGGTGGCGCCTCCAGGGGCGCCGCCAGCGCGTTCTGCGCGCCAGGTCTGGGGGTCCAGCGCCGATCAACACATTCCGCGCGGAGGTCTTAACAGATACGATTGTGCCGTTGGTGGTGCCTCTACCTCTGTCAGGTGGGCGCTCTCCTGGGAACTCTCGGCACAATCTCGGCACGGCCGGGAGGAGTCAGGAGCACAGCGGGAGAGGACGAGCTGGAGGATCGAAGGAGGGAGTTGCCGCTGCCCGTTCCTCGTCGCCACGGCTGGCTTTGCGTCGAAATCTCAGGCAGAAAGCACCCCAGGAGCGGTCCGTGGAGCAGCTGTATTGTTATTCTATGTCTCCCAGCGGAGGGAGGAGGAAAAGGAGGAGGAGGAGGAGGAATAGCAGGAGCAGCAGGACGACAACAGCGACGTGGGACCTGGGGATGAGTTCGTCGATGAGCACGATGAAAGTCACGTGAGTCGGAGGGGCTGGTTGGAGGAGGAGGTGGACAAGGGTCACACGGGTGGGGGGAAGCGAGGGTTGCGGAGGATTGCCTGGATGAGGAGAGGGAGAAGGGCGATGCGGAAAAGGAGGCGCGGACAAGATCATTCATGTATTTCCAGCAAGAAGGAGCTGATTATGATGATGAGCATGGCGGTGGCGAGGAGGAGGCGGAGGAGGACGGTGAAGAGGAGGATGAGGTATACGCACAGAGTGGGGATTGAGAGAGGGAGGATGAACTACATCATTGCAGTCGGAAGCCGGCTACGCGCGAGAGCGACAGAGAGGCTAGCGGGCTGGGTTAGGGCAGGCAGGGATGGGAAACTAAGTTAGCTGTACGACGTCGTATTGGAAGGGCGTCTCGGAACGATTCCAGGAAAGCCCCTGGGAGAGGCCTGGAGGACGAATTTCGACTTAATTCTGGCAAAGCGCGAGGGTGGAGAATGGAGGGAAGTGCAGCGGATGTGCACGCAGGGGCGGGGGAGGAGGGGACAGTAAAAGATTCGGATGAGGGAGGGGGAGGGGGCGGGCGATGTGCGGTTGAGGATTGAAAGATGGGGAGGCGGTTGGTTGGTGTGGGCGGGACAAGCGGCAGGAGGAGCAGGAGAAGAGCGGGGAGGAGGAGGAGACGGCGGACGAGGAGGAGGAGAAGGGGGAGGAGGAGGAGGAGGAGGAGGAGGAGGAGGAGGAGAAGGAGGAGGAGGAGGATCTTGAGGAGGAGGAGGATGTTCGATGAATGTGCCCGATGTCTTCGCCTCTTGAGCGTATTGAGGAGGCGTTTTTTGAACGTGCCCGATGTTTTCGTTTCCTGTCATCTTGCTATGTGTGAAAGAGGTCTGCGGCAATACGTGCTATGGTTTCTTAGGACACATCATTTCTTCAAGGAGGCAGTTGCCTTCTTCGAAGGCCACCGTCTCGCCACACCTCCTCGCAGTCGCCAACAGTGAGGACACGGCCCGTATGCCAGCTTCCGACGCCTGCCGCGCAGGAATTTGTCGGCGTTGCCGCCGGGCTACGAGAATGCAACTTTTATCAAGGCTTGGGCGGCGCTCTCACACGGGACCTCCACCCGCTCCGTCACCTCCGACTTATTGTGGGGGCGCAGTAACTCACCCGCCAGTCCTCGACGTACGTCGTTTTGAGCAGTCGGAGCTAGTCCTGCCTGAGGGGCATCGGAAGGACAGATACGGACATCTGTTCGGGGGCCCGGCCCCCCCCCACCCACCATGCTAATGGGATCGGCCCTCGCCTTGATGGGTACACCCCCCTGTGGCTGTGGGGTGGTGCTGCGGTGCCGTCGTCTACGTCGCCGCCGCCGTCGCCGCCGTCGTCGTCGTCTTCGTCGTCGTCGGCGTCGTCGTCTTCGTCGTTGTCGTCGTCGTCGTTGTCGTCGTCGGCATCGTCCTCGCCATCGTCTTCGTCGTTCTCGTCGTCATCAACGTCACCTTCGTCGTCGTCACCGTATTCGTCACTGTCATCGCCCACCTCCCCATTCCATCTGGGGTGGGTGGGCTTGGGCCTTGAGCACTGGAGCATATCTTCTCTGTGCTGTGGCGTAGTCTTCCACTGCTTCCCAGGACAATTCGATGTCAGGAGTCGCGCCCTCTGTGAATCCACATGCGCAGACCATGGCTATCCCCCTCGTCCTGCGCGTCGTCATCGTAGCCGCCATCGCCGCCGCTCTGGTTCCCTGCTGTTCTCCCTTCGCCTCTTGAGGATAACGGGAAATGAGCCTCCTATTCTTGGAGCACCCATTGAGGAAGGCATGTTCTATTGGATGTTCAACAGGGTCAGGGGCTCGTTTCTACTGGATCACTCGAGGATCCCCCCCGTGCAGTGCAGGGCGGTGCCCCGTGCGGGACAGGGTGGTGCCCCGCAGCAGGAACGCTAGCCCCCCCTCCACCCCGCCCACATTATTGCCAGTGACCGCGGTCCGCGGTGTGGGTGGGGGCGGCGCCGCCTGGGGAAGGGGGAGTACACCGGACTACAGGTGGGGCGGGCAGATGGCAACGGTGGGGTCATAAACGTGGGGCGGGTCGAGGATGGCAGGAAAGCGGCTCCAAGGGCCCCCACAGTGACACCGCGGGCCCAGAAGGTGCACGAGAAGGTGCACGCTTCTTCACTCCACGTTGATTGCCCCCCCCGTTGCCGAACACTCGAGAAGAGAGAGGTCAGGGGCGACGTCAGGGAGATGTAGGCTCAGGAGGGGTGCGTCGACCCCCAATCGCTCATTGACCGCCGACAGGGACCCGACAGCCCGCCCCTCCTTGGAACGTGCGGCTTCGCTATCCGGGGGCTATCGGCGATGCATCGCCGAATTCAGCTCGATGTCCCCCCCCCCCCCCCTGAGCTGGTCCCCCCTCCCGAACGTTGCCCCTCAACGGGAGGGGGGGGAGGGACATTTCACTGGTTCTTGGAGGTTTTCTCGCCTCGGGATTCTTTCCAGCAGCTGCGCTTCGTCCAGGGTTTTCCGTGGCTGGCTGCCCAGATCGTCCCGAGCGGCCGCCGGCGGCCCGAGGTGAGTCCAGAAGTTCACCGGGCGCCGAAGAGTGGACGAGAACAGGCGGCGGCGTGGACATCATGGCTCGGGGCCACGATCTCTCGCAGACCGCATGGCCCTCCCCGCTTCTCAACAGTGCGCTCCCAAGCCCGCCCCTCGTCCGCGCACGTGCCTCGGGCCAAATGCGCTGCGTGGGCTCAGGGGGGGCCTCTAGATTTTGGACCGCTCAGATTTTTAGGTCAGGCGCCGATTCGTGGCCGAGGCTCGTCATGGCCAGAAAAGCCCCTTCGCTCCTTATTCAGCGTTCAGTGGAGGCCCATGCCAAGAAAAACCCTGCTTGCCTCCAGGGTGCCCTGGATTTCTTGGGTTTCGATGGTTGTGCGATGGAGAGCGCGACGTGCCCACACCAAAAATCAATGGACGTCCTGGGGTCTCAGGGTTGGGTTTCTGGTGGAAAGTTTCTTGTGGACTAGCCCCCACTGTAGCACGATGAGACGATGAGGGTACGCGCTGTAAAACACCCCATCTCTGGCGCATCCGAGGGGGCCAAGGAGGGCGCCACGCCACGTGAGCCCACGACTCGCAGCTTCTGATGCTAGCGAGGCGTCTCGTGTCGAGGGCCACAGCTATGAGGGATGGCAGCGGGTCTCTCAGGACGAGGTTGCTAGGGAGAGGGGACGGAGACGAAGGACTATCTTCTCTTTTACAAGGAGGGGGGAGGCCAGAGAGCTCACGAATCACTTCATGACAGCCACGGCCTGCCAAGCCCGCTACAGAATTCCTGGGCACAACGCGGCGATTGCACGTGTCACGAACTCCGTGCAGGAACGGCCACACGAGGGAGAAGCAGGTCAAGGAGGGCCACACGAGGCAGGTTACAAGGAGGACTATCCTGCAGTCCGTCTCCCGGGATGGCCATTCATGGGCTGGTGAGATTCGGCACCGAGCGCTAGCGACATCTGGGCCTCCAGCTCCAAGACGGCGGTTGGTGGGCTTGTTTTCCACCGCCACCACCACAATTAGGAGGGGGAGGGGGTCATCCTCGTCCTCCTCCTCTTCTGCCTCTTCATCCTCCACATCCTTCCCCCCTCAAACTTATGGTGGTGGTGGTGGAAAACATGCCCATCAGCGGGGGGCCCGGGGAAGGACTCGGAGCGGCGTTAACAAGAACATCGGATGTTCCTCCGCATCCGCGCCTGCGGCGCTGGGTGTGCTGGCCTTCCTGCGAGCCCGTGCTGGCAGGGCAGCCCCCCCAACGTCATCGAGACCAGCGCGCGTGCCGCTTGCTCGACCTGCCCCGAGCGCTCTCCCCACGACGGTCTCCTCGGCCTCTGCCGCGCGGCCCCTTCTCTTTTGCTCGAGGGGGAGGCCGAGCAGGAAGACAGATGGTGACGGTTTCCAGGTTTGTGCGAGGCCGGTCGGGAGATCTCAACGACAGGGTATGACGACCCCAGCCTGTCGGGTGGGGAACCAGGCCCCAATCCTCCATTCCCTTGCCTGGACAGTTACGTCTGGGGATACCGTCTGAGAGAAAGGTTCGGGTTGATGCGAGGTTTGGGTTGATGCTCCATGCAACTTGCACGGATGGCTGTCGTCGGAAGCGTTTCGTCAGCAGCATTCCGTTTGCCCTCAGCGTTGCGTCGATGGCAGTCGATACCTCGCCCCACTCCCCTGCTGCCTCCCGAAAATCAGGCCTCTCCGAAAAGAGGTAAGGCCTACGGAGGCGCACACCTATTGAGAATGGGCGCCCCCATCGTATATTCTCGAGTTGGGCCACATGTTGTTTGTTTGGTCCGGTCAAGATCCTCGATATTACATCTTCGCTTCTCTTATGTCCAGGCGAAGGGCCAGAACTTCGATTTCGATCCTCCTTTTTCTCTTCTCCTCCTCCTCCTCGTCCCTGATCAGAGAAACTATGGATTCAGTTTGTGTCGGGGTTTCGGTTTTCTGCTATGCTTGGCGGCCCATAGGGGCCAGACGGATCGCGAGGAGGCGGAGGAGGAGGAGGAGGAGGAGGAGGAGGAGGAGGGGCCACCTGTGGTTGTTGCTCCTCGCGTTTCTCCGGCCTGCCTCTCTCCCCTCCCCCTCTTCCCTCTCTCCCTAAACCCCCCTCCCTCCTCCTCCCCCCGCCCCTCCCCCCGAAATGGGACGGGGCGAATTACAACCGACCAGTCCCAATTCCAACCGTTCGGAGCGAATTGTAAACATAAATGGGACCAATTACAACCATGGGATCTTCAGAAGTACTTCTTTCTTCTTCAGAAGTATTTCTTTCTTCTTCAGAAGTGTTTCTTTCTTCTTCAGAAGTACTTTGATTCCTTAGGATTCCTTATGATTCCTTTGGATCCCTTAGGATCCTTAGGATTCCTTGGGGTCCTTGGGATTCCTTAGGATCCTTAGGAATATTTGCGAATCCATGGGAGTCCTGAAAAATCCTTAGGAGAAGAGAGCGCTTTGGGGGCCTTCTTGAGGTCTCTTTGGGCCACTCTTAAGGCCCTCTTGGGTCCTTCTTGGAGCCCTCCTGGGGCCCCTATTGACTTTTCTTGGCGCCCAAAAAAGCCCTAGAAGGGCCAACTTTCGAGGGCTGCAGGAGGACCAACTGATGAGGTCAATACTACGGACACTACTACTACTTCGACCTACTGCTACGACTTCTGCTACAACTACTCCTGCTACAACCAATAATGCGACTTCTACCCCTACTACTACGACCACTACTATTATTACCTGCTTCCACTATTACGCATACTGGTTTCAATATTACTACTTCTACTGAAGCGACGCCGACTACTACAACTACAACAACAACGACTACTACTACTAGTACTGCTATTCCTGCTACCAGGACTACCACTTCTGGTACCATGGCCACTACTATGCTCACTACTAGTACTACGAGTACTACTACTACTACTACTACTACTACTACTACTACTACTACTACTACTACTACTACTACTACTACTACTACTGCGACTGCTACTACTACTACTATTACTACTGCGACTACTACTACTACTACTACTACTACTACTACTACTACTACTACTATTACAACTACTACCACTACTACTACTACTACTACTACTTCTACTACTACTTCTACTACTACTACTACGACGACTACTACTACTACTACTACTACTACTACTGCGACTGTTACTTCTACTAATATAAGTATTGCCGGTACTACTACTGTCACTACAACTACCACTACTACTACCACTACTGAGATTGACCACGACTACTACCACTACGACTACTACGAGTCTTGCTTTGCTTGCTACGACTACTACAACGCTACTCGTACCAATGCCAACACCACCATTACTACTACTGCTACTACTCAATCTACTACTACTACTACGACGACGACTACGACTACTACGACTACTACTACTAGTAGTACTACTTCTACTACTACTACTACTACTACTCTTAGTCTTACTCTTATTGAAATTACTACCACTACCACTACTACCACTCTACACAACTGCTACTACTACTGCTGCTGCTACTATTACTACTACGGCTGCC